GTGGGGCGATCCCAGGGCGTGGGGCGCCGGGCTGGCAGCTGGAGGTGGCGGGGGAGAGGGCGGAGTGCCTGGCCTCCTCCCCAGGGATGGCGCGTGTTGATTGGAGGCGGCGTTGTTGGAGAAAATGAGGAACTTTAATTGGCCTGGATGGGGAAGTAAATGCTCCCCCCAGCACGAGGTCTGTTTATTATGAGCGGGTAGCGATTGCAATAGGGAAGGAATGAGATGCAGATGATGCTAATCTAGTGCTTTTTGCAGTGCATGGCTGGAGGGCAGGGGAAAACATGGGGCAGAGAGAGAGAGAGAGAGAGAGAGAGAGAGAGCGAGAGCGAGCGCTTGTCTTATCCGGGATCCCTCCCTGCCCCTGGGGAGGTTTTTCTGATAATCTGGTAGATTTCTCCGGGAGGCTTGGTTCCTGGAGCAGAAACTCGGATTCCTGTTAGGAATCAACAGCCCGCTGCTGTGCTAGAATGGCCCACGGATCAGCATTCAGATATTCTTGATCATCTTTTTATAAGGCTGTATCATGGCATGTGGACTATCCCCCCCCACCCAACCCCCCCGGTTAAAGCACAATACAGGGCCTGTCTCCGTTGTTTTTTTTTCTCTTGATGATTTCAAGTTCAGTGTAGGAACTCGAACGCACCTAGCTTACTCACACTGGTTTCCTGGGCCACAATGAACTGGGGCGTCTGATGGCTGCGTGGGCAAGTTAGGCAGGTCTTAGACCTGGAAGCTACTGGAGACAGTTTGGTTTATGCTGCTAAGATGATTTGGGTTTAGGCCGGGTAGGTAATGCTGTCATTTTTAGTCAGAATAACTGAGGCTGGTTAGGTCTGGTTCAGTGACGAGCCTAAAGTCACACAGCTGCTGTGTGTTAGGAGGCAGACACCTAGGGTCCTGCCTCAGGAGGGCTTTCCCCACCGTGTATTGTGCTTGGAGGTAAAGATGGTGGAAAATGGGCACTCGTTGGAATGTAGGTTATTTGCCGCTGAGCGACACTTCCCACTACGTCTATCTATCTTTACCTACTTTTCCTTTGTTGAAAGTTGGCATTAATGATAGTGTCGTGTAGTTTGTGTGCCTTTCTCCCCACTCAATTGCGAGTTCCGTGAGGTTGGAGACCAGATCTGCGTATCCCCACAGCCTTGTGCATGGGGCTCAGTTAAACTCCGGAGGGGAGTGTAATGTGAAAATTGCCCGTTCCTTTAGTACACCAGAGAAGGAAATAAGTATCATTCTCAAGGTGTGTATATAGATGTGAGGAAACAGCGTTCTCAAGATGCTTAGCCTATAGTCTCCTGTGTCACTTAAGGTAATGAGAATTTGAGAAGAATTTAAGGAGTATTGCTAATAGATGTATACCTATTGATTTATATTGATAATTGTAATGATAATATTCCTAATACACTATTCTAGAGGCCCGAATAAATCATTGTTTCCTAAGGGTACCTAGAGATCAATTTATGGGTAAAGGAGAAGAGATAAGCAAAAAAACCCCAAGATAAGCACAATCTTGGATGATTGTCACTTAAGACTGTAACCACTGCTTATCAAAGTATGTAATAGCCTATTCAGAGAGTTGTCTCTGACTCATTACAAATGTACCTTGAATGTGACTTACAACTACATTGGGAACAGTGGCTGAAGAATTTGTCACCCAAATTACCTAAGTAAGAGAGTAATTTAGATTCTAATCTAGAGGAAGGAGTCCATTCGACTTAAAATAAACTGTTTTCAATTTTGTAAGACTTTTTTTGTAAGACTAAGGGACTGTCTTTGTATCACCAGTACACAATACCTCAAACATACTATGGTATTTAAAAAATATTTGATGAGTTTAATTCTCATTTATTTACACAGTCTTGATATATTGTTAGTGAGAGGACACTATGACAATCTTCCCTATTCCTAAAACGCATAACAAGATGGTCAGTAATTCAGAGCTCAAGAATTTATGTCTCTCTACTATAACAAAGCACGTAAGTTGTCAAGTATATCATGTAGGTCATAGTTTGGTTTGGCTGTCAACTGAAATTCTCAGAATAAACTTCCTTAAAAACCTTGTGTGAATATTTGTCTAAAATGTTTGTTACTATTGGTACGTAACCAGAGTTTTCCGATTTAGGATTGGTAGCTTAGTGATTTTCAAAAAGGAGTTGTTGGTGTGAATGAAAAAACTGTTCAGGAAAGTAACCTAACAGTGTGATCTGATCATAAATTCCTAACTGGGCAGGTTATGGTAGGTGTATAACTTTAGTAAAAGATTTATCTTTGCCTTAAGCAAGCCCTGTGCATTGTTTTTTTGCTAAGATTAACACATTTTTTAAATAACCACCCTCTAGTCTAGAGAGCACGTAATCTTGTTAATTGTCCTGTAATTCTCTCCTTGCTTTCTTCCTCCTTTATGTAATCTTCCTTAATTTCAAATACATAAAAGAAACTGAAAATTGCCATTCTTTAGAGTATTTGAAATCTTGCTTCCCAGCAATTGTCATCAGTTTTGGCTTGAATGAACACATAAAAATTCTCTACTGGTTTGGATGTTTTTTACATCGACATTGCCTTTGTTAAATTAAAAATTAAGAACATGGAACCAATAGCGTAACAGTACTTGAACAGAAAAATAGATCTTGGTATAGTTAAGTGATAGTATTTTATAGTTCTGATATCAGTTATACTTTATGTTCTTCACTCACATCCTATTTCATCAAAGTACATTGAGTTTTTCTAAGAACAATAGTTGTTGTGTGTTTTTTAATTGTAAAAGTAGTACATGATCTTTTAGGGAAAAAATTTCAAGGAGTAAAACAGTATAGTAGTACCCTTCCCCCTATTCTCTCAACTGCAATAGCTGGTAACTATTTCTGGTGTATCCTTTCAAGGCTTTGTTTCTGGGGACATACATAAACACATAACACATTTCAGACTTTTCTTATAAACATATATAAGCAACTTTTTGTTTCTAGTCTGTATTTCATCATGTAAGTATATCCATATTTTTGTACCTAGGATATACTTCATTCTTTTAAAAAATTGTGTTGTATTCTATAGTGTAGATATATCACAATTTATTCCTCTTGTGTTGGATTTTTATATTTTTATCATTTTGTTATTATGTATTAAACATTCTTGTATACATTGCATATTGTATAACTCTTTCTGTAGGAAAGTTTCACAAATGTGTAATTGTTAGCAATTTAAATTCCCAAACTTCACCCAAGTTAGCAAAAGTCCTTTTTGTTTTAATATATAACATGTACCATTAATTTCTTTCAAAAGTCCTTAAAGATTTAAACAAATAGTTGATATCTCATATTTGTGCCCTGGTCCACTTTAGGATATAGAATAAGGTAGTCTACAGGGAAAAGGGATTCAAACTGATACTGTTTTGGGGGGAAAACCCACAACTTTTGTAGTTTACTGGTTTATTTTATTAAATATCCTCTGAAACTAATTGACTTAAAATAATTTCAAACTTACAGAAAAGTTGTAAGAATAATACAGAGAACTTAACATTTTTCTGAATTTTTGACTATGCATTTATTTTTTTCCTGAACTATTTACTTAAATGTATATATCTGTAACTACAGCACATTTATAAAATACTAGAGGCCCAGTCTATGAAATTTGTGCACAGGTAGGGTCCCTAGGAATTGCTGCTGCTAGTGGGGCCAGAGGGGAGGGGTGGGAGGAGGGGCCAGCTGGCCCCACCCCTGGTTGAACTTCTGGGTCCAGGGGACAGTTTGCATATTAGGCTTTTATTATATAGGATAGGAAATTTAACAGTGATACAATGCTCTTATCTAATCTGTAGTCCATATTCCAATTTTTCAGCTGTTCTAATAATGTCTTTCATCATACTTGTTTTTGTCTTCACATGATCTAGTTCAGGATCATTTATTGCATTTAGTTCTCATGTCTCTTAGATTCCTCTAATTTGTATCAGTTCCCCAGCCTTTCTTTGTCTTTTATAACATTGTCATTTTTTAAGAATATAGGCTAGTTATTTATGAGATATTCTTTAATTTGGATTTCTGATGGGTTCTCATGATGAAATTCAGGTAATGCATTTCTGGTTGGAATATTATACAAGTGTATCTTATTTATTTTTAAAACATTTTTTATTGATGTTTAGAGAGAGGAAGGGAGAGGGAGAAAGAGAAAGATGATGTGAGAGAGAGGCATCCATCTGCTGTCTCCTGCATGTCCCCTACGTGGGACTGTGCCTGTAATCAGGGCATGTGTCATTGTGGAGAATCAAGCCAACAACCTTTCTGTGCACAGATCGAGGTCCAACCAACTAAGCCACACCTGCCAGGGCCTAGTGTATCCTCTTTAAGGTATCACATCTGGAGGCTCACAATGTCCATCTGCCCATTATTAATTTTGATCATCTGGCTCAAGTTTGGTCTGGCTTCTCCAGTATATTGTTAATATTTTCCCCCTTTCAACTAATAAGCATCTGTGGGGAAATGTTTTAATTTTAAAATAATACAGATATCTGGATCCTCATCATACTTTACCCCTAGATTTGGCATCTATTGCTGATTCTTGCCTAATAATTTTTCTAGTGGAAAAATTAGTATTTTCTCCTGTTTCTACCACTCCCTGTTTGTTAATAATCAGCATTTCATATTGATACTTTCCCTTAGACCGAGGGTATGTGGTTGGAAACTCTTAAAAAGTTATTTGGGTTAGGGCTTTTGTGGGGTTTATTTTTAGCTCCCCCTTCTCTATGGTCATATTCTTTTGAAGTACAGTTGGATTCATTTGTTTCTGTTTAAACTTAGTCCTTCATGTTTCTGTTTAAACTTAGTCCTTAGTTTATTTAGCTAGATATTTTTGAAAGCCTATTAAAAAAGTCAAACTTTACATAAAGGTATATCAGAAGTGTAATGCCATTCCCTATCACTGTAACCCATTCCTTTTTTTTATTTTTTTATTCCTGCAGCGACTGTGTCAAGCAGCAAGGATGGACCGGCTCCCAGCAAATTCCCCCTTTTTTTATTTTTTAAATGATAGCGCATGCAAATCAGTTTCTTTCTTTTTTTTTTGTACCCCATTCCTTAGCATCCCTTGTAGGTAACCAGTTTATTGTGTTTTGATTTTTCATTTTTGTTTTTTGTTACAGAAAGAAGCAGATATATATAGGTCTTCTCATTTCTCTTTTCAAAACAAAAAACAGTGTGCTATATATATTGTTTTGTATTTTGCTTTGTAAACTTAACAGTATATCCTAGAAGTCAGTAATATCAGTTCATGGACAGCTTCCTCATAACGCAGTTGTATTCCATTGTGCACATATACTCCATTCTTTTCAGTCAGTTATCTGGATTTGCTTTTGG